TGGTCACATGGAGAAAGAAAGGATGAGAAATTTTTCTATTGTTTCTCAAAGAAGTCAAGAGAATGATATAGATGATCATGGAAAGGTTTTTGGTGAAGCTGTCAAGAGCGTCAATATTGTCCATAAACTTGGAAAGAGAGTGGATCTTAAAGAAGAGGAAGAGGACCGAATGGTTGGTACTGTAAAATGGCGATTGTATTGGAAATACTTTAGAGCCTCCCTTTCAACTGGTCTTATTTTCAGCCTTGCCTGCTTCTTCGTCGTTGTCCAAGGTATTTATAACTGTAAATTTAAATAGGACAGTAATTGTCATGTGCTTTGGGTGCTGTCATAAGACAGTTGAACTTCAATGGTTTTTTTTGTTTGTTTGTTTTGTTTACTTGTAGAAAAAACTCAAGGGATATCTTGTGCTTGTCTCTGATATTGATTTTGTTATGATTCAATGGTAAAAGGTCTTCTTGTCGTTCGATCTGCAATCATACTCGTAACCAAACAAATTAGACTCTTGCTACGCGGTCGTCCCTTTAATCTCTGGTACAATCACAGGTCGAACTGCACTCCGCTAAGTCATATTAACATTATACACTTAATGTCTCTATCTCTCCTTGGATGACTTCGGAAACTGTTGCTTACTAGGTTCAGGGGTGTGTGTTGAGTTTGTGTTTTTCCAATTTTCCCGCCTTCAGTAACGCCACTTTCATGGCTCCATGCTTTGATCTCGTGCTGCTCACGAGGGGGGTATAAGTACTCAAATTTATCATGATAAGGATAGATTTTACTTTAGTCAAGGCCACCTGACTAAGAATCAACCAATGGCTGTCCCTGTTTAGTTGACTGAAAGTCTAGGGATATAACAGTATACCTAAGTAAATCACTTCTCATAAACAAACAATGACTAGACACCACTGGATCAAATACAAAATTTGTTTGTTTGTTTGTTTTTGTTGTTGTTTCAGTTTTATGGATCGCTCCATATTGGTGGGTTTCACGAATGATCGACATGCCAAAAGAAAAACAGAAGGACTACACAACGCTCCTGGTGTATGGATCCATTGTCACATTGTCCTTGTTGTTTACAATTGTATCCTCATTTTGCTTTTATCTGACAGCTTTAAAGGCCTCAGAAAATCTGCATAACAAGATGACTAAAGCGGTTATTGAAGCACCAGTCATCTTCTTTGACACAAACCCAGTTGGTCGAATCTTAAATCGCTTCTCTAAAGACATTGGTAGTATGGACATTATGCTTCCACCACAATTTCTCCTGGCAGTGCTATGTTGTCTTTATTTTTTCAGTGCTACCATCCTGTCTGCTGTGGTGAACGTGTGGTTATTTATCATTTGTGTTCCACTGACAATTTTGTTTATCTACCTTGCAAAGTATTATTTGAAATCCTCTCGGGAAATCAGACGGCTGGAGGCAGTGACTTGTAGCCCTGTTTATTCACTCATTGCCGATACCATAGCAGGATCAGAAGTAATTCGCTCATCAAAGATGGAAGATGATTTCCTGCAGAAATTTTTCAAGTATGTAACTTAATTTGCTCCTGAACGGCGTTCGGTATGTTATGCTGACGAATATGGGTATAACTTTAATTCTTAGTTTTCATTTTTGTAAGCGTGTAGACCAGTTAAAATAATTGTTCTAGGTGTACATAGTATTTGAAATGATTATAGTTTAACTTTTCCTAAAGTATGAATAACACTAAGCGTAGACCAGCAGGCGGATATGTTTCTATTAAACACTCAGTGATTCATAAGAACTGGCAATAAAAGAAAAAAAAAGGAGAAAACATTTCTTCTGTGTCAATTATTTTAGGTACCAAGACAAAAACACATCAGCCTTAATAATGTTACTGGCATCAACACACTGGCTTGGGCTCCGTGGAGATTCAATAAGCAACGTTCTGGTGACGTCTGTTTCAGTTGGAGCCATGTTAGCGACACAAAGCCCAGGTGGGTATCTTTATCGTCCTCGTCCCGGTCGTTCAAAAAATGGATAGCGCTATCCAACCGAAAAATCACTATCCAGCGGATAAGTACTAGGGAAACCAACTGCGTTATCCACAAGATAGAGATTTATCCAGTGGATAGTGTTATCTGCGTTTCGAACAACTGGGCCCTCGAGAACAAGCTACTTTATTTGAGAAGGTTTTTTTTCAGCATCTACTTATCCCTAAACTGCTAGTTAATTTGTTTTTTAAATGATCACAAGCCCTTTTTTCCACAATGAAACCAAGACGAACGCCTGGCGGTGCCTCATTCTGGAAAATCGGCTAACCTGGTGTCAGAAACAAAGAGTCGTTTTCTATAAGCCAAGATGCGCCAATATTGAATGCGTTTGTAACAGAAACAACGACAAATATATTAAAAGAATATAGAGCGACTGTATTCAGCCAAATAAAGATTTTCCTAAGGTTGACGTAGTCTCCGACTGGTAATATGAAATGAAAAAGAGATCGAAAACAGCATTGAATTGTGAGACCAGTGAACTCATGTTTCACAGTCCACCAGTATATTTTTAACAGAGATGTCGTACTATAAGACGCGCGTCAGAGGTTCCCTTAAGTTTTTATACCTCATTGATACAGGAAAGTAATAGGAAAACTTACTCGTGGCACTGGGGGTAGAACCATTTTCAGGAACACCGATCCCAACAAGTTCCTCAAGGGATAAACTTTCTGAGGATTAATATTTCAGTAAGTCTGTATGTCCGTCATAATTAAAAGGATAACCATTGGATTCTGATGCTTTATGAACTAAAGCAGCTAAGCCTTCGTTTACTTTCCTATCAGCTGTAATAGGTACATATTTTCTCCTTGCTCTTATCCCGTTCTTCCGATTAAGTGTTACTCTGTCTGGTTGGCGACTAATTCTCGGACAGTAGAAGAAAACGTTTGTGTTTGTTTGCAGCGTTGGCTGGCATGTCTCTGACATTCGCACTGGAGACGTTAGAGGCTGCACAGTTTGGCATTTACGTCGCTTCGGAGACAGAAAATCACATGACATCAGTGGAAAGAGTGTTTACCTACACGGAAATCGATCCAGAGCCTGGGTATTGCACAGAAACCCAACCTGCCCCTGAAGACTGGCCAACAGCGGGCTCCATGGCATTACATGACTTGTCGCTTACATATTTGGAAGGTGCTCCAGCAATTTTGAACGGCATAAACGTTTGCTTCGCATCTCAGGAAAAAGTTGGAGTAGTAGGTCGCACTGGAGCTGGAAAATCGTCTTTGGTGGCTGCTTTGTTCCGAATGCCAGAGCCAGAAGGCAGGGTAAGAATAGTCTTCTTCTTGTCTTTTTGTTAAGACCTATCGCGACGTTATAGTTGGCAGCAACATGTTTTAGTGCTGCTGGAAGCTCTTAACAGCGCTTAAAAAAGGTCATTCATAATAGCTGGGTGCTCGTTTTCAAAACTTTCCCGGCCATTCTCGTCCCGAGAGCCCTGATTCTTTTGGCCAGCGCCCGGCACGGATCTAGAGCTCTGGGTGGGACCAGGATAACGCGCAGACGCAGTAGTCTCATAACCCTTTTCGCTTCCAATTTTTGTTGCTGCACGGAAATTCTCATGCCCTTGATTAGAGGAATTCCGGCATCTACTCTTTCTTTCGATCTGCGGCGTTATCACAAGGATCAAAGCCCTGGGGACGAGAATGTTGTGCACTCGGATGCGCATTACTTGTCGTATCCTTAGTAGTATCCAATGCGCATGCCTGCGAGAATTATATATAGTAAATGCCAGAAAAATAAAAAGCTGGTTGAAATGCATTATATTTGCTTTCACAGGTGATCATAGACAATGTCAACATCAAAGAACTCAATCTGCAGGCTGCTCGCAGGTCCATGGCTGTTATAACTCAGGATCCTGTCCTCTTCAGCGGCAGCCTCAGAAGGAACCTAGATCCATTCTCTTTGTACGAAGATCATGACATGTGGAGTGCCTTGGAAGAAGTACAGTTGAAGACCCTGGTGCGAGATTTACCTGAACAACTAGAGTACAAGTTGAAAGAATCTGGGACCAATTTCAGTGTTGGCGAGCGTCAACTGGTCTGTTTAGCGCGTGCGCTGTTACAGAAAAGCAAGATTATAATACTGGATGAAGCCACTGCTAATGTGGATTACAAAACAGATTGTCTGATTCAAGAAGTTATACGCAACAGATTTAAAGATTCTACAGTGATTACCATCGCCCATCGCTTGAACACCATCATGGACTATGACAAAGTCTTGGTTATGGATCGGGGAAGAGTGGTGGAGTTTGATAAACCTGACGTCCTGTTACGGATAAAAAATGGTCATTTCTCTCTCCTTGTTCAGACTTACGAGAGGACTGCAGATCACTGATCGACTGACACTTGTATGTTTTCACTTTAACTTAGGATCAATGCTTTGGAGAAGGAAAGTAGGAAACACACACTTACTACTTCTATTGATCTTGTTACTAATAAAGAAGGACGGGTTAGAATTTAATTTGGGAGCGATCTTTTAGGAGGGAAGAAAATATTTAGGTCACGGGAGACAACCTCCATATTAAATAAATTCTTTATATCGGCAAATTTTCTTATGAGAACAACTTTTAAGACGTCTATTCCTGACGATCAAGTTCAAACTCACATCAAAGGATGAGAGTTCAACAACCATTTTTTTTAATGTAATGCATTAATTGACAATTTTATATCAAGAAATAGTAAACGTACAGAGCGTGTAATGATCGACTTATGACTGTACGTGTGTGGTTAGTTGATTAGGGTATGAAAGATCCGTAAGAGTTGCAGAGAGCAACTTTTGCTACCTTAGAGTTCAGCTAAACCTCCCAGGTGCATCCCAGGGAGGGTTGGGGGGCGGGAGGTGACTCTTTTGTTTTCCAACTTCGTTTCTTGAAACACTCCGCGTGCCAGTGTGGCGTCATATAGTAACGGGCGAGAGCTTCAGGTCACTGTGCAAATTAGCGAGGGACACCACAGTCATTAGGAGCAACTTCGGAGAAAAGAGGAAAAGCTAGCAAATATTGCTATATATCGCTAAAATAAATTTGATCATAAGTGTGTGAGCTTTGGTATTACTTTTATCCGCTCGTGTAAACCGTCTTAGTATTTTGTGGTCGTAAATGTGTAATTTTGTTAATTTTTGTCGCAGGCCTTGTTACGGGATCGCTATCTTCCTTACGGGACCTGCAAGGTCATCAAAAATTAATTCTTTTTTTTCTCTAAAATAGGCAACTTCTAGTCTCCAGAATAGGAGGTTCGATTCAGAGATCACACACGTTTATATTTCATATAATCTTTTGCCGATTAAATCGACCGTACTTCAATCCCCTCGCGTGTGGGCCTCTGTTAATATCCTACGTTCTCCATCAAGTTCAGTACAGCCAGTTTCATCGATTATCCGTACATCAATCGGCACATTGAACACGAAAAAAATGCGAAATAGCTTTGATATACTCGTTCATTTGCTAATTTTCCTCGAATGTATCTTTGAATTCATGATAAATACAGCTCCACCCGCTTCAACCAGTGCTTGTGACAGAGAAAAATGGTTTTAATATAACAAAATTACTTCTAATCACCAAAATATGAGTGTTGTCGTGTGAGTGTTGGTACAGTGGTCAAGGAGGTGCTTGCACGTACAGATGAACTAGGCGAAGCTGTTTTCTGTTTCTTTATTGTACAATTTTGTTCTGTAGTTTTTTTTTTTTAATCCTATTTTTCCCTTTGGCTGGTTTCCCTTTATTCTTACTGCTGACCCTTTACAGCTTTGCCTTGCGAGGTTTTTGCGATAACGTATTTCTAGTAAAGGCTGATTGTGTGGTAGTTTTGATTTGTCTTAAACTGCTTATACATTATTGCTACACCACGCTCTTAAACGTTTACAGCTTAAATTTGGCTTAAGTTTAGAATTTTCAGAATTTTTCGACAAAATACCTGTTAGAATTCTTCGTGATGAGCTCTTTCGTGTGTTTAGGTTTTCTAAGGCGTCTTTTACATGCCCTGACATTTCAGACTTAAGGAAGGTTTCCATGGCAATTTGGTAATTTCATATGAAAAATTATAAATTAGTATAGGTAATAGCATGATTTGTAGTCATGATATTTGGCATAAATACCTCGAGTGATATTTCAAAATTGTTATACTTAATTTCACGAGCCGTTAGGCGCGTGAATTTTGAAACAATTTTGAAATTTCACGAGGGGTATTGATGCCAACTATCAGGTACAAATCATGCTATTATTTGTTTATACTACTACCCACGAAAGGTTTGTGATTTTCACATGTGGGTATTTCAAATTAACCTGAAATACTACTGCTCTAAGCCAATCAAATTGCAGAAATTTCTCATCTAGTAGTATAAACGCTGACATTTCGGGCCACAATTGAGGAGAAATTCGTCACCCATGGTATTATATAAGTAACTGGCCAACGAGAGCGCCCCTTAACTGCCTGCAGCGTAAAATGTTTAACTGTAATATTTCGGGGGATTTATTCAGGCTATTTAAGTCCTGAGCGATTTGGACATTTAATGTTAAAACGCCTAAACAAGCCTTTCCAATATAACTGAGGAGAACAAAGATGAGAAAGGCTAACCAGACTTATTATAGAGGTTAATGTTTGCTATCTTGTGGTTTGTAATGTCGAAGACGACATTTTTATATATTTTTAGAGGGTGTAGCGTATAGGAAATAAGACACTATGATCCCTGCCCGGTCAAGTACTCTTACAACCTGCATCCGTGAGTATCATGGGAAGTAAAAAGCACGATGTTCCTGTTTTTTTTTATGTGCTGGTTAGCTATGTTTGATGTTTTTAAAGAAAAAAATAGATGGTAGTGGGGTAGGTAGGTACTTTATTAAATACATTGCAGCATAAGCTGAATTGCCTATTTATATAATGGTAATAATTTATACTAATAATTGTAAAAATGAGTAATAATTGTAATAGCTAAGACTAAAAAAGTATAATAAGAAACCTAAGAATTATAAACAATTCTGCCTGAGGCCATAAAAAAACTGTTCTTAAATCTATTTGTCTTGCAACGCGGCAAAGTGAAAGTGCGCGAGTGCCTTAGATTATAGTTGCTCTTATAAAGAGACGGCAACAACTTCCTTAACTTGTGGTTCTTTCTGAACGCGTTCTAATTCTTGCGAAAGGTAGGCTGGTAGCGCGTGATGGAAAACTGGCACAGTTTAGTCAATGACGGAGAGCACGCATGTAATGTAAAAAAGGCATAAACCTTTCTGTGGAACCCGAGCTCTTTTTAGCTGAACCATAAAATAGAGCCTCTTAGCTGCCTTCTTAGTAACTTCCGTGATGTGCACATTCGATGTTAAGTCACCAGAGATAGTAACGCCTAAAAGTTTAGCATCTTTAACTAATTTGATGCACTCCTCTCCTATGACTACTGGAGGAAAGTCACAATCTGGTGTAAAACTAATGCGGAGTTCCTTGCAGTTGTCTGTGTTTAACTTGACTCTGTTTCTGATTGACCAATTTCCTACCTCATTTACAATAACTTGAGCCTCGCTATGCTGTCCTTTCTTTATTACCTCTGATGTTGTGGTATCGTCTACATATTTCCAAATAGAAGCATTACTGACGGTTAGATTATTTATCATGATCAAAAAAAGCCAAGGGCCTAGTTTGGTCCCTTGCGGAACGCCCGAAGATACTGTGCTCCATTCAGATACACAGCCTTCAGAGAGTTGGATTCTCTTTGAGCGAGCTGATACGAAATCTATTATCCAATTAATGACGCTAGGTGCGATATCAAGCGCGTGTAATTTCCTTACTAAGATACTATGGACAATTAGATCAAATGCTTTCTTGTAATCAAACAGGAGTGTCCAGATAGTCCAACCGTTCCCATCAGTCCCTTGAGACCACTCGTGGAGCATCTCCAACAGGGCAAAAGTTGTCGAAGACTTCAGTATCGCACCAAGCTGGCTTTACGTGCTCTGTGACCACAAAGTCCTCTGCGACCTTAGAGATACTCGGTGTTAACGAGCCTCTTGGTATTTCAAAACAACGTATGATCTTTCTTGATCTCCTTAACAGGCTTGGTTTTGGGTAAAGGAGTGACGTGTGCCAATTTCCAGGGTCTCGGTAGCTGCTGTTCCTTGAAAGAGGCATTTAGAATGATTGAGAGAGGATAGGCGAGAAACTCCGCATACTCCCTTAGTATCCAATAAGGAATACCGTCCGGACCGCCTGCTTTGGCTGCATGGAGACGTGAAAGTCTCTTGTATACGTCATACTCCTCAACCACTAGATACTTTGGAGACTGATCTTCCAGAGGGAGCTTGGGAATCTCGTTAGACAGGCGGTACTCTTCAAGAGGCTCTAACAAGGCGTGGTTGATACTGTTAGCAATCTCGCGCATGGACGACCCCTCCAACTCATCGATGTCAAGGAGAGAGATCAGGTTGCTCGAGGAGGATTGCCGCGCTCCGCTGAGTCTCTTTACTTCCTTCCACCAGGACTTAGGGTCGCTCTCCTTCATTTGAGCGATCTTTGTTTTATAGAAAGTTGCTTTGCAGCATTTGTACTTCCGGCTAACTGCGTTCCTATAGAACTTGAACTGGACTGACTCAGTTCCATGTTCGTGAAAGGCTCGTTGCCTTTTTAGAATGAGCGACTTCAGTTCGCTTGTCATCCAAGGGGCGTCGTTGGTGTTAATTCGCACCCTTGTCACAGGCATGAGAAGGTCTAGTCCTGTGGAAAGAACTTTTTGAAACACGCCAAGCAATTCTTTGCAGCTTTGAAGACCAGTGAAAAGGGCGCGCCAATCCATGCTGCCTAAACAACGGCCCAGTTCAGCTTTACGGCTGGGACGCATATCACGCCTAAGTACAAACTTGGTTGTTCTTCTAGACTTTTCCCTTGCCTCTGGAGAACTTTTTACTTAGTGTTCCCCTGTTTCCCCCCTCCCAGGTAACACAGCTGCATTCGAGGAAAACAACTTGTTGATTGTTCCGTGTTCTTTCCGGAAACAGCACTGATTCTCTGGGACCCTGAGGAACCTTGCCAAATAGGACTCAAATAGGCCATTCCTGAGTTCCAAAAGACCTCACTTTCAAAACGAGGCGAAGTGCAGAAATGAGGTTTAATTGCATGAGAATAAAAAAATCATTTTCATATCAATGGCTTCGCACTTAGCCTCGATTTGAAACAGAGTCTTGGGCAACCCGGAAATTTAATGGCCTGTTGCATTCAGGACTTTCATAACGATATTGCGTACTAATACAATGCGTCATCAATTCATGAGCACCTACTCAAGATGGCCTATGGCCTTGTTGTCAACCTATCCTAAACTCGCCCCATGTCTGCATACTACGCCGTGGATTCTTGATTCCATGTGCTGGATTTCAGTCTTTGTCAGTGGAAATTGGATTCTGGATTCCACCCGTTGGTGGAATTCCGTATTCCTTAAGCAGTACTCCGGATTCCAAAGCCCAGGATTCTGGTATTTCACAAGCAAAATATTCTTTGAGTCCAGTTTCCACCAGTTCCGGAATTCGTATTCCCACTACATGCGGTCACTAAACGGTATGCGGCGGCGCTGCTGTGTCAGGGTATGGTTTTCAGGGTATCTAGTCTTAATTATACAATGATGTGAATGCTACGCGCGCTGTGATTGGTCGTTGCCCATGATCTATTAGAGTACAGATACATGGATGACGTCACGGGAAACTTCTTTTCTTTGTTTTGTTCAACATGGCACGCGGTTTTGAAAATGTTTGTGAGATTATTTCGGATTGAGGCAAGTGAAAGCTTCGGAAAAAGTTTAGTAGGAGCTATTTACAAAGAAGAAAAATGGAGAAACGGAGACCAAAAAAGCTATTGACTACTTGACAATGCCTAAACTACAAGAAATCTTCACAACAGTTGCCATCGTGTGTGTTCGCTACGAGAGACTCGCTGTTTTGCAAAATGTTTTCGTTATTATTCTTCTTTAAGCAAGAAAAGACGGTGAAAAACTTTTCGAAGAAACTGTACACAAGTAAGATAAAGAAGAAGCTAAGATGAAAAGTTGGGTTTGGGACTTAAAAAATGCCTAAACTAGCACAAATCCTCAAAAGGTCAAGCGGTTCGAGGCAGGTATGTGTATCGGTCTTTTTCTTTTCTGATCATTGTATAAAACAAATAGATTCCATGTTGCCGTGGGTCTGTTCAGTAATAGATCACAGAGGACGTCAAAATGTGGTAAAAACAACAGTGACACACTCGCCTTCGGCTCGTGTGCCACTTCTTTGTTTTTACGACATTTCGACGTCATCTGTGATCTATTACTGAACAGACGCACGGCAACATGGAATCTATTTGTTAAATAGAGTGAACACGTTAACTATATTTAGCGTCTTAAAGGGAGTATCTTTTGGACCAGCAGCCTTCAAAATCGTGTAAAGGTAATGATGATGTTATGTCTTATGATGTTAGGTTATGATAAGTTATGATATGGTTAGAATTCACTTTACGCATAAATTCCAAAATATCTTGAAATTCCTCTTCTAGATTTTTGTGAAACTTCGTACAACAGTAAAACAATTGTGGCATCGTTGTCATGTGATGTTAATTTCGAACGCAATAATAACTTTCAGTCCAAGTTTATTCCATGGCTTTTCAATAATGGCAGGCGCAGATCCACACCGGTTTCCACCGTTTTACGGAAATCGGTCGGATATTTCATGATAAATATATTTTTAATAATGAAAAAAACTTTCCAAGTTGAAATTTAGAAAATAGTTGGACTCGTCTTGCTCCCATCCTGACTACAACACGGAAATGACGTCCGGGAACATAAAGACGAGTTCTGAACACTACGGGTTTTGGTTCCGGATGAGTATGTCCTTTGGATTTAATTAACATGTAAATTCACCTGCATACAATACAGAATGTGCTGTCTCACTAAGTTGTACAAGGTGAGTTTCGTCAATTATTTTTCATGTAAGAAGGAATTAGTTTTCATTTAGAACTACAACTGTTATGCCGGACCGTTTTTTTTTTATAAAGGAGCATAGCACTGGAAGAAAAGAAAAGAAAAAGTATTACTCAGGTTTCAGAACTTTTCACAATATTGTTCTGGTCTGATGAGCAGCGCGCCAGTACACAGTCGAATGATCTGCCATCAAAGTTGACGCTCAGAACTACAGTAGAGCTAGAATGGGACGTATATAGACAAAATTAATGGGGAAGCTTAGAAGAGATTATTGCATCCGAGTTACTTCAAAAAGGTGCATTGCAAATAGTAAATATACAATGCTTGGTAACACTCGAGGGGATTTTGAAAACATTTAAATATGCACAACCATCAGATAAAAATAAAATCCCTTATTAAGGCCGTGATCTGAGACAAATTGACATCTTTTCATTCAGCATACATGTTGACTGCTGTCGAAAGAATTCGAAAGGACGGATATTTTCAATACATATACTCGGGTGTCATCCGAGCTAAGCTACTCATCACCATGACTGTGTGATTGTCTCATCCCTATGTCTGGGTTGCAAGAAATCAATCATGCATGCATAATTTGCTGTATTTACACCAAATTGCAAGAACGCCGTTATAGAAAAATGCAAAAAAGAAAATGAAAATGTAAAAAACCAAATAGGAATTAATCAGACTTACTGACAAACCCACTCTTGGGTTCATCAATTTGCAACATGCGCGTACAGCAGTCGCAAATTGATGAACGCCACTGCTGCAAGTGAATGCATTCTATGGTTTATTAGTAAGCCTAATTAATTCCTATATAGGGCTTTTTCCTTTTAGTATTTTCCTAAGACAAAATTATTGCCATTCTGTGTAACAAACTAAATTTCAAAGCAAGCCTTTCGTAAGTACCAGGGGCACCCAGTGACTGTTTTTTTTGCGTTCGAGGTACGAGAACTCAACCCCTAATTTGTGTTGGGTGTTCTGTGCAATATTGGGTGTCCTGTGCAATTAATAAGGGAGGTTTTTTCGTCGTCGTCGACACATTTGCTTCGCTTTGGGGCGCTTGCTTACGTTTTGCCTCACTTTGACGCGCTAACTCATGTGGTGATTCTTGTGTCCTCGGCGTTCATCTTTCAAAGGTTTGCTGAGGTCTAATATTCTGTCTTCGTACAGTATTCACCTTTTAAAAAGTTTGCTGAATCTTCGTAAAGCGAACATCGATCTGTGTTTGCTGAATCGTCCAAAGCGTTCATCTTTTAGAAGTTGCTGTTAAATTTTACTTTGGATTAAGCCTTCATATTTTTCAGCATGGTTCGTCACTGTCTTTGGAAAATGTCTGCGACTACTGGTGCATGCATCAAACCGGGTTTAGTTCGGCGGCCGTTGTGCCACAAAGTAAATTTACTGAGTTGTGTGGCTCGGCGGCCGTTGTGTCACAAAGTAAATCTGCCGAGTTGTGTAGCTCGGCAGCCATTGTGCCACAAAGTACTGCTACCGAGATGTGAAGCTCGGCGGCGCCATTTGATCATGACTTGTGATATTTTCGGTACCGGTCAAACGAACACTTTAACTCTATGTTATTTATTAGGAAAAACCATAGTTATTAGAGGAGACTGGTTATGAAAAGCGGCAAACATCAATGATAAAAACAACAGTGCTGCAGTTTATGTTCAAAGCACCGTGAAAGTGCACAATCCTTTGTTTTCTGTTGGCAAATTGTTACGGAATAAATTAATGCAACGTTTTTATTGGTCAATACAATCAAAATGATAGGAATTCTTTTGAACGTTGTGCACTTTCAGGTCCACAAAAACATATAGCAAAGGACTCTGACGGGTTTCATAACCATGCCACTCAATTAACTATGGAAAAACTTATAAACCACTCTCGAGTCACTGAGATCAACACGCTTGACCAAATTACTGGAAAAGTTATTGACGTGAGCCTCACACGCAATCCATTGAAGGCTGCGAAGTTTGAATTCATGATCAGATGTGAAAGCTTTTAAAACAGTAAATTCAATGTAATTAATTTTGTGAAAAAGTTAATGATTGGATGCTCTTAAAAATAACAGGGAAAATTATCCGAAGAAATGTTTTTGAAGAGAGAAAAAGAATCCCGGGTTAAGCACTAATCGGCCTTTGAGCAACTGCGCCCTGTAACTCGCGCCAGTAAAACAAAATGTTCTGTTTACACGCCCGACGCCGCCTCTGGCCAACGTCTCCTCCGATTACAAGCACTTGACACCGAACCATACGATATCTTTTCAAAACCTTCTTATAATGATACACAGTTTAAATGGAGGTTTCGCTGTACGCAACCCTTACGTTCAAAATATGTCATAATCATATTTATCTATATCGCAACCACCCTTCCCCCTCAACTGCTACCTCTACGCCTAACAAAAAGATCGAACGCACTCTCCTAAGCTCCGATTACTCCTAGTCTAGCTTTCTATAAAATATCTGTTCGGAGAAGCATTAATTACCTAGAGTTTTTCTATAGCTTGAGGACGGCTAAAAATTTCTAGGTGACCGTTCTGTCATTTATGTCCAATTTTAACTTAGATTATCTCTAAGATTTTCTTAAGTTTAACTTTATCCATTTCAACCTCGACTATAAGCTATATTTCGTTCAAAAAGAAAAACTAAAATTTTTGGATTCGAAGAGGAATTAGAAAAATTCTCATTTTCGCAAAACCGTGACTGTAAATCGCATCTCAAATTTTCGGGAAAGTAATACTGAAGCCTTTGTAATTTCAAAAAGGTTCAAGTTGTGCTAGGATGACCGAACAGATACCCTCCCCGCACAAATATATGTTTACATTTGCAGACATGGTGGAGTATTAAAACAATCATATGAGCGCTACTGCGCAGAATGACACGCGTCAAACTGCAGATTTCTGTGTCAGTATAGACATGATATTTGCAAACTTTTATAGTAGCCCGTGGCCTTGGAAGATTAAGGTGACTTTAAGGAATAGTACATTCCAATGGAATTTCAGTATCCCTCAACTCATACATCGTTTGCGAAGGGAAGGAAGTGTATTGATTTTATAGTTAAATGCAACAAGTTGGACAGATCACAGATGTTTACTAGTGCTTCCCTTTTGTCTCAGCTATGGTTGGGTCAAAGTTATTATTCTCCACACCTTCCCTATAAATAAATATATCCACCGGATAAATTTCTATCCACTGGATAGCGCAATTGTCTTTCCTCATACTTATATTATTCACTGGATAGTGATTTCTCCGGTGGATTGCGCTATCCACCTTTTGAACTACTGGGGTCAGAACATGATTTCACCCATTAGACTTAAGAAAACAATTCATGGCAGAAACTCCTGAGTAATCTTTGTTTCTATATTTCTTCAAGTTCGACTAAAGAAAGAGTTATGGAAGACGCTTCAAATAGAAATCCAAGACAGACAGCAGGGTTTATTTCATTGTTAACTTTCTCCTGGCTGAGTAATATTCTAAAACTGGGCAGTAAGCATCCTCTGGAGGAGAAGCACTTGTTTCCACTGGAACGTTCATTTCAAGCAAAGGACCTTGTTGATTACTTGGAGAGGGAGTGGTTAGCAGAAGTGCGATGGTCCCAACAAACACGAACAAAGCCTCGCCTTTGGAGAGCCATGCTGAGGATAATTCCTTACAGAGAATACATTATTTTGGCCCTCTTGAGAATATTTTATTCATTATCAATGAATCTCCTCCCTTTGATGGTTTGGCTTTTCTTGAAAAGCATTTCTTCAGGTAGCAGTGAAAAAAGTTACGCATCCTCCCTGCCTTTTGTGGTCTGTATTTCTGTAACCTCAGTTGCACGAAATATATTTGTAATGCACGGGATATTCAAGGGAGAAATGTGTTCAGTTAGATTCAAAGTGGCTGTTGTTGGACTAGTTTACAAAAAGGTATTTATATTTATGAAATATGACTAAAAACAATTACTGGGGTTAAAAACAAGTAAAACCGGGAAGGAAATACTCGTGGAATCAGTCTTTACAACGATTTGGAAAGTCAAGGGAACGCAAGATCAATATTTTTTGTTAAATTGTCACCATTGCCCTTTAAACTTTTAAACTTTTCAGCTTGAGTAATCAACATTAGTTTTCTCCTTTCCAGGTACCTTTTAATAAGTGAATTGACGGTCAGTGTACGGTTGTTACTTTCACACAAATTTACATCACAGAGACACGCCATAGGGTCATGTGCCCGCTGGAATGTACTCAGTGCAGTTATTACCGTCTATGAAATGTTCCAAAAGCGAAAAAAATCCTGAATGGCCTTGACGATTCTATATTAGCGTTGGAAAATCCGTTAACGTATTTCTCTTCAGAAGATTTAACCTCTTCTTCAAAATTCAAGAATTTATTGCAAAAGATGGTTGTATATATAGCTTCTTTCTAACGCGTAGTGTTAAGATACGGGAAGGTAAGTAATAGCCTGCGGACACAGACATATTTCCAGTCGTCGCTTCTCTCCACCCGAAAAGTGTAACTCTTGGGGAGGGGAGAGAAGTACGACCATGGCGACATCCCGCAAATACGTCTGTGTCCGCAGGCTGGGTACAGTAAGTAACAGAGTGTTTCCGTTTCTTTTTTTTTCCTTTTTTTAGATTCTTTCTATTAACAGATGCGTCTTAGAAGACAGCGTTTCGGAAAACACAATTAATCTTGTTTCCAACGACGCCCAAGTCATTGAGAAATTGGGACATCATGCTTTCCACGCGTCATTTGCAATCCTGGATGTAATAATCGCTTTGATTCTTCTGTGGTATTTAGTAGCCTGGCAAACTCTAATATCAGTTTTCTTCTTCGTCTTGGTCACTGCCTATGACATCCTTGCAGCTCATAAATCTGGAAGGCTTCGCGCTAAAGCTGCCACACAAACTGATAGAAGATTGGAGATAATAAAAGAGATCGTTTCTGGAATCCGCTTGGTGAAAATGTATGCTTGGGAGGGGAACTTCAGGGAACTGGTTGCACAATTGAGACGGTTAGTAGTTTCTGTTAGTTAATTGTTTACCAAGAATGGTACTTTGTTAGTTTGAAGTCGGAAGGTTTGAACAATTTGCATTAAACAGGATTCATGCTTATTACATGCACTGACCACCTCCCATTCACCTTCACACTAAATGTTAATCATGTATGAAAGAGGGTTATTCACTTACAACCCCACCCACAAACCTAGATGGCCTGCTAGTTTCCGCTTTTCAATTTTTTCTGTCCCTAACATTGATACTGCGTCATCGCAGGGTTAGCCTGTGGTAGAACAGGGCTTTCAAATTCTTTCAACCCTCAGCCTCTTGTCCATGCCTAAGCTACACCATGAAGGAACAAGGGTTGAGCAGGGTAGCAAGTAAATATGAGGCTCTTACTATCTTGTCATAAACCAGCCAGTTGACATGAAATGACAACAGCGTTTGGTCTGTTTAGTGTGAAAAAAAAAGTTTCAAGTGAATTACCCGTATCATTCATTAAGGTAGATTGCATCAGTGCAAGACAAGAAAGGCGGATTTAGGGGTGGTCCAGGGGGTCCCTCCGCCCCCCCCTTTTGTCCGCGATTTATTTTTCTTTTGTAAATTGTGTGTTGGATGGTACTTCGAGCTTTGTTACTTAAATATATTTTCTTTAATAAACATTGTTAATAAGAAAAGAATCTGTGTTCGAAGCCTACATTTTTAGTCGCAAATGACCAAAGCTCCCAGAATGCATGCAGTAAATAACCTTCTCAAACAAACTGGATTTGAGTATTTTCCAGGGAGAAAATGTTGCCGCCTTTGCCGGAAGGTTGTGCTCTCGCCCATATCGCCACTGTATACTATATCTCTAGGTCCCCTCTATCACAGAATCCTCCATCCGCCCCTACAAGAGACTATCACAGCAGTTTTTTAAAATGAACTCTTTTATATACGACAGCACCATTTGCTCAAAATTTTAAAAGAAAATTTGACGATCTGACTGCTTGAACTCTTATGAACAAAAGTTCTATTTTGCAGAAAAGAAATGTCTCTGATTCGTGTCCGTGGGTTTTTTATCTCCACTGTCTACGCCTTGTTCTTCATTAGCCACACCATCGCAGGGTTTCTATCAGTTGCAACACTGGTTTTCACTGAACACAGCCTGACATCATTCACGGTGTTCACACTGCTTTCAATTTTAGCGAATATCAAGTTTTTCGTAACAGTCTTTATTGGAGACAGTCTAATATGGATTGCAGACTCGATGGTTGCGTTAAGAAGAATGCAGAGATTGTTGGAAACGAAACCAGTCATCGAATCTAAAATAAGCAAACGACAGAATATGTCTCCTTTAAAGGTTTATTTTAAAGGCAGGAGGTATAAACCACACTTAGTTAGAACAGAGAGTTTCAAAACAGGAAAACCAGCCTTGATGAGTCTTCAAAAGATTGAGGACTTCCAAGCTGTTCAACCTCAAGCTGTGCTTGAAAACATTTCCAGTTTGTGGAACTATTCGTCAGATCGCCCAGCATTACAAAACGTTTCATTGCAAGCTTCTAGTGGGCAATTTATAGGTATAACTGGACCAGTATGGAGTGGCAAAACTTCTCTATTGATGACCATCTTGGGGGAAATTCCAATATCATCGGGTCAAATGTCTTGTACTGGAAAAATGGCTTACGTTTCCCAAACGCCTTGGGTCTATTCTGGCACGGTGAGAGAGAACGTTGTATTTGGTATGCCTTTCGTGGAAGAAAAGTTTAATAAGATCATCGAAGTGTGCGACCTAGGAAAAGATCTATCACGATTTCCAAAACGTGATCTCACGGAGATAGGGCAACGTGGAGTAATCCTGAGTGGCGGTCAGCGTGCACGAGTGAGTCTGGCACGTGCAATCTACTCAGATGCGGATATCTACTTACTAGATGATCCTCTGAGTGCAGTGGATGCCAAAGTCGGCAAACATTTGTTTGAAAAATGTATTGACGGATTTCTAGCTGGGAGGGTGCGTATTTTGGTGACACACCAATTACAGTTCCTCCAACATACAGACAACGTTGTAGTACTTCACAATGGTTCCGTAGAGTACCAGGGTACCTTTGGTCACATGGAGAAAGAAAGGATGAGAAATTTTTCTATTGTTTCTCAAAGAAGTCAAGAGACTGACATAGATGATCATGCAAACGTGGTTGGTGAAGATGAAGCTGTCAAGAGCGTCAATATTGTCCATAAACGTGGAGAGAGAGTGGATCTAAAAGAAGAGGAAGAGGACCGCATGGTTGGGACTGTAAAATGGCAATTGTATTGAAAGTACTTTAGAGCCTCCCTTTCAACTCGTCTAATTTTTAGCCTTGCCTGCTTCTTCGTCGTTGTCCAAGGTATTTATAACTATAAAATTTATATTTATTATAATAATATTTAAAAATCAACAGGACAGTTTAGTAGGACAGTAAGTGTCTTGCGCTTCGGGTGCTCTAATGAGACAGTTGAACTTCAATGAGTTTTTCGTTTGTTTGTTTGTTTTGTTTACTTCTTTAAAAAACTCAAGGGATATCTTGTGCTTGTCTCTGATTTGATTTTGTTATGATTCAATGGTAAGAGGTCTTCTTGTCATCATATTCGGTCTGCAATCATACTCGTAATCAGACAAATTAGACTCTTGCTAGGCGGTCATCCCTTTAATCTCTGGTACAATTACAGGTCGAACTGGACTCCGCTAAGTCATACTTTAGATAACTTCGGTTGCTTTCCATTATGCCAAAATTTCGGAAAATTTCGGTCCAAACGTAAATGAAAAGGTTCGGTACAGGTAGAAATTTTCCGGTCAAAGTGGTCCACCTCCAGAGGTGGTCCTCTTTGACTGGTCGGTCCGGTCTGACCGAAAATTGCCGTCCCATTTTCAGAAATTTCCTTTTGTAGTCCCGCTTCAGCTCGTCACTTCACACAGTGGTCAAAATGGCGGACGGTTCAGATGTAAGTGATTACGAGTGCAGTGTGTGTAAGCTTCAGACGCAAGACCTAAACTTTCTCCTTATGCACAATTGCACACAGGGCTCAGGTACAGCAGTGCATCTTAATTTGTTTTTTCTTTTGACTGGTTCCATCAGTTTATAAAGACAAATATATTACTGGCTTCTCCGAGCAATCAATTCGATGGCAGTTTTGGTTCCCGACGCGTTCCATTTTCCCTTGGTTAGTCCGAGTGGTAAAATGGAAAGCACCCTTCGAAAATAGTTGCTTACTAGGTTGAGGAGTGTGTGTTTTTCCAATTTTCTCGCCTTCTGTAACGCGACTTTCTTCCATGCTTTGATCACGTGCTGATCAACAAGAAGGGTATAATTACTCAAATTTATTACGATTAGGATAGTACATTTTATTTTATTCAAGGCCACCTGACCAAGAATCAACCAGTGGCTGTTCCTATGTTTAGTTGAGTGAAAGTCTAGAGATATAACAGTGTACCTAAGTAAACTACTTCCCATAAACTAACAACGATCAGACACCTTGTTTGTTGTTGTTGTTGTTTCAGTTTTATGGATCGCTCCGTATTGGTGGGTTTCACGAATGATCGACATGCCAAAAGAAAAACAGAAGGACTATACTACGCTCCTGGTGTATGGATCCATTGTCACATTTTCCTTGGTGTTCACAATTGTATCCTCATTTTGCTTTTATCTGACAGCTTCAAAGGCCTCAGAAAATCTTCATAACAAGATGACTAAAGCGGTTATTGAAGCACCAGTCATCTTCTTTGACACAAACCCAGTTGGTCGTATCTTAAATCGCTTCTCTAAAGACATTGGTAGTATGGACATTATGCTTCCACCACAATTTCTCCTCGCAGTGCTATGTTGTCTTTATTTTTGCAGTGCCACCATCCTGTCTGCTGTGGTAAACGTGTGGTTATTTATCATTTGTGTTCCACTGACAATTTTGTTTATCTACCTTGCAAAGTATTATTTGAAATCCTCTCGGGAAATCAGGAGGCTCGAGGCAGTGACTTGTAGCCCTGTTTATTCACTCATTGCCGATACCATAGCAGGATCAGAAGTAATTCGCTCATCAAAGATGGAAGATGATTTCCTGCAGAAATTTTTCAAGTATGTAACCTAATTTGCTCCTGAACGGCGTTCGGTATGTTAGGCTGACGAATATGGGTATAACTTTAATTCTTATATTTTCATCTTTGTAAGCGTGTCGACCAGTTAAAATAATTGTTCTAGGTGTACATAGTATTTGAAATGATTATAGTTTAACTTTTCCTAAAGTATGATTAACACTTACCGTAGACCAGCAGGCGGATATGTTTCTATTTAACACTCAGTGATTCATAAGAACTGGCAATAAAAGAGAAAAATGGAGAACACATTCCTTCTGTGTCAATTATTTTAGGTACCAAGACAAAAACACATCAGCCTTAATAATGCTACTGGCATCAACACGCTGGCTTGGGTTCCGTGGAGATTCAATAAGCAACGTTCTGGTGACGTCTGTTTCAGTTGGAGCCATGTTAGCGACACAAAGCCCAGGTGGGTATCTTTATAGTCCTCGAGAATAAGCTACTTTATTTGAGAAGGTTTTTTTTCAGCATCTACTTATCCCTAAACTGCTAGTTAATTTGTTTTTAAAATGATCACAAGCCCTTTTTTCCACAATGAAACCAAGACGAATGCCTGGCGGTGCCTCATTCTGGAAAATCGGCTAACTTGGTGTCAGAAACAAAGAGTCGTTTTCTATAAGCCAAGATGCGCCTAATATTGAATACGTTTGTCACAGACACAACGACAAATATACTAAAAGTATATAGAGCCACTGTATTCAGCCAAATAAAGATTTTCGTATGGTTGACGTAGTCTCCGACTGGTCATATGAAATGAATAAGAGATCGAAAACAGCATTGAATTGTGAGACCAGTGAACTCCTGTCGCACAGTCCACCAGTATATTTTTAACAGAGACATCGTACTATAGGACGCGCGTCAGAGGTTCCCTTAAGTTTTTATACCCCATTGATAAAGGAAAGTAATAGGAAAACTTACTTGTGGCACTGAAGGTAGAACCATTTTGAGGAACAAGGATCGCAACAAGTTCCTCAAGGGATAAACTTTCTGAGGGTTAATATTTCAGTAAGGCTGTATGTCCGTCATCATTAAAAGGATAACCATTGGATTCTGATTCTTCATGAACTAAAGCGGCTAAGCCTTCGTTTACTTTCCTATCAGCTGTAATAGGTACATATTTTGTCTCTGCTCTTAACTCGTTCTTCCGATTAAGTGTTACTCTGTCTGATTGGCTACTAATTCTCGGAAAGGAGAAGAAAACGTTTGTGTTTGTTTGCAGCGTTAGCTGGCATGTCTCTGACATTCGCACTGGAGACGTTAGAGGCTGCACAGTATGGCATTTATGTCGCTTCAGAGACAGAAAATCACATGACATCAGTGGAAAGAGTGTTTACCTACACTGAAATCGATCCAGAGCCTGGGTATTGCGCAGAAACCCAATCCCCTCCTGAAGACTGGCCAACAGCGGGCTCCATGGCATTACATGACTTGTCGCTTACATATTTGGAAGGTGCTCCAGCAATTTTGAACGGCATAAACGTTTGCTTCGCAGCTCAGGAAAAAGTTGGAGTAGTAGGTCGCACTGGAGCTGGAAAATCGTCTTTGGTGGCTGCTTTGTTCCGAATGCCAGCCAGAAGGCAGGGTAAGAATAGTCTTCTTCTCTTCTTTTTGTTAAGATCTATCGCGATGTTGTAGTTGGCAGCAACATGTTTTGGTGTTGCTGGAAGCTCTTGACAACGCTTAAAAAAGGTCAAACTTTTGAGTCAAAAAGTCTCGACATTTATGTTTCATAATAGCTGGGTGTTTTCGTTTTCAAAGCTTTCCCAGCCATTCTCGTCCCAAGAGCCCTGATCCTTTTGGCTAGTGCCCGGCAAGGATCTAGAGCTCTGACTGGGACCAGGATAACACGCAGGCGCAGTAGTCTCACGCTTTAGTAACCGTTGGTAACACTTTTCGCTTCAAATTTTTGAGGATGCACAGAAAGCCTGAAGCCCTTGATTTGAGGAGTTCCGGCATCTACTCTAGCTTTCGATCTGCAGCATTTATCACAAGGATCAAAGCCTTGGGGACGAGAATGTTGTGCACTCGAATGCGCATTACTTGTCGTATCCTTAGTAGTATCCAATGCGCATACGTGCGAGAATTATACATAGTAAATGCCAGAAAAATAAAAAGCTGGTTAAAATGCATTACATTTGCTTTCACAGGTGATCATAGATAATGTCAACATCAAAGATCTCAATCTGCAGGTGGCTCGCAGGTCCATGGCTGTTATAACGCAGGATCCTGTCCTCTTCAGCGGCAGCCTCAGAAGGAACCTAGATCCATTCTCTTTGTACGAAGATCATGACATGTGGAGTGCCTTGGAAGAAGTACAGTTGAAGACCCTGGTGCGAGATTTACCTGAACAACTAGAGTACAAGTTGAAAGAATCTGGGACCAATTTCAGTGTTGGCGAGCGTCAACTGGTCTGTTTAGCGCGTGCGCTGTTACAGAAAAGCAAGATTATAATACTGGATGAAGCCACTGCTAATGTGGATTACAAAACAGATCGTCTGATTCAAGAAGTTATACGCAACAGATTTAAAGATTCTACAGTGATTACCATCGCCCATCGCTTGAACACCATCATGGACTATGACAAAGTCTTAGTTATGGATCGGGGAAGAGTGGTGGAGTTTGATAAACCTGAAGTCCTGCTACGGATAAAAAATGGTCATTTCTCTCGCCTTGTTCAGACTTACGAGAGGACTGCAGATCACTGAGTGACACACTTGTATGTTTTCACTTTAACTTAGGATCAATGCTTTGGAGAAGGAAAGTAGGAAACACATACTTACCACTTCAATTGATCTTGTTATTAATAAAGAAGGACGAGTTGGATTTTAATTCGGGAACGATCTTTTAGGAGGGAAGAAAATGTTTAGGTCGCGGGAGACAACTTCCATGTTAAATAAGTTCTTTATATCCGCAAAACTTTCCTAAGAGAACATCATTTTAGACGTCTATTCCTGACGATCAAGTTCAAACTCACAGTAAAAGATAGGAGTTTAACAACCATTTTTTACGATAGGTAATGCATTAATTGACAAGTTCATATGAAGAAATGGTAAACGTGCAGAGCGTGTAATCATCGAGTTATGACTGTACGTGTGTGGTTAGTTGATTAGGCCAGGGTATGAAAGATCCGTAAGGGTTGCCGAGAGCAACGTTTGCTACCTTAGTATTCAGCAAAACGTCCCAAGTACACCTCAGGACGGGTTTGGGCCGGCGGGGGCGGAGGAGGTGACTATTGTTTTCTAACTACGTTTCTTGAGACACTCCGCGTGCCAGTGTGACGTCATATAGTAATGGGCGAGAGCGTCAGGTCACTTGTGAAAATTAGCGAGAGACACCACAGTCATTAGAACAACTTCGGAGAAAAGAAGAAAAGCTAGCAAATATTGCTATATATCGCTAATATGATCATAAGTGTGTGAACTTTGGTATTGCTTTTATCCGCTTGCGTAAACCGTCTTAGTATTTTGTGTCCGTCAATGTGTTATTTTGTTAATTTTTGTCGCGGGCCCTGTTGCTGGATCGCCATCTTCCTTACGGTACCAGCAAGGTCATCAAAAATTAGTTCCTTTTGTTTTCTCTTAAATAGGCAACGTCTAGTCTCCAGAATAGGAGGTTCGATTCAGAGATCACACACGTTTATATTTCATATAATCTTTTGCCGATTAAATCGACCGTACTTAATATCAGTCCCCTCGAGTGTGGGCCTCTCTTAATTTCTTACATTCTCCATTAAGTTCAGTAGAGCCAGTTTGATCGATTATCCGTACATCGATCGGCCCATTAAACACGAAAAAAATGAAAAATAGCTTTGAAATACTTGTTCATAGATAGATGATAATAATTTATACTAACAATTGTAAAAATGGGCAATAATTGTAATAGCTAAAACTAAAAACGTATAATAAGAAACCTAAAAATTATTTACAATTCTGCCTGAGGCCATAAAAAAACTGTTCTTAAATCTATTTGACTTGCAATGAGGAAAAGTGAAAGTGCGCGCGTGCCTTAGATTATAGTTGCTCTTATATGGAGGCGGCAACAACTTTCTTAACTTGTGGTTCGGGTCGCTCATTATGCTTTCAAACGTGCGCGTGCAAATGTTGTGGTGATGCTCCGCAACCGTTGGTAAACCATGGATAATAGAAAGACTGGATAGGAAACTGGCTGACGTGATCGGTTCCAACATAGTGGAAAAATGTGACGTCACATTATCGAGAGCCATTCAACCTCTTACATCCGATGTTTTGCGCGTCTTTAATTAATCGTCGCATATTGCCCAGATTGCCCATGTTTTGAAATAAAGGATGAAGAGTACTTGTTCTTGGCGAAGACAGTTAGAGGGTACAAAAGCGGTAGAGGCAAAAGACTGAGTAAATGATAATGGAAGTTGTGAGAGCGAACAATGACTCCAGCGCCCGATAATTTTATGCACCAAACGAGAAGCCTACCTACATAAAAATTATGCGAAAACTTACATGTATACAGCTACAAAACACCTGTAAAAAAGGCACAGCCTAATTTTCTAGAAACCACAAGAAAACCGGGAAGAATTTTAAATATTTTTGTCACGGTTTTGACGATTTCTTTTCTGCTTTTATACGAGCTCAGCGAGTGTCGAATTTTACAAGTTAACAACTGACTCCTGACAAAATGATTTTATTAGCGGTAAAACTGTCGAGGCTTGATGTTTCAAGTACCCAGCTCAAACGAAGGTTTAATTTTCCATTCAAATTTATTTACGGACAATCAGTGACAAGAAGCCGTAGTTGAGAACTGTATAAAACATGATAAAAAGCGGGGATAAAAAGCTCAGCAGAGAAAGGAAATTTGCTTGCGGACCACCGTGGAAACGCTGTTTCTAACTTTCTCAAATCAATTTTCATAGTAAAGCGGCAAGTTCTTTTGTTATTTTCAGGTATAAATGTACCATTACCCAAGGTAATTTTCAGTCAGGTCTTTGAAAAAGCGAACTGCAACGCTTTTAAAAATGTTACGTAAAACGGTTAATTGTTAACCACTAGCTTACAGCTGGGAAGCAAACTCGTGATTAATAGTAGGCCCTTCACTTCTTTTTATGAGGAACACTTGTCTTCCACTGATAAGGCTTATAAAGCTTAGAAATATATTTATTCTTTGAAATACTGACCTCTTTTTAGGATGAAACAACCTTTAAGTTTTTGTATTGTAGTCTTAATGATATAGAAATCACCTCTGAAAATTAAACATTAACACTGTTCCCAAAGAAAATAGAAGCTGATTATTAAAAAAAATAAATAAAAAAAGTAACATCCAGGATTTTTGTTTAGCCTGAGGTAAGTGGATAAGGGCTTGAAAAAATGTGACTGTCTGGTCACATTATTATGGTGTTGAAAACAAAATTCATACCCCAAACAAGTACAGGTATATGTTTTATTAATTTGATTTAGAATACATCTTGGTAAGGTTTATCATCTACAGGTACATTGTTGCTTTGGATCTCTAAAAGAACCGAGTTCAATAATAGTGCTAATCAAGTCCATCTCTGGTTTGAAAAACAATTTGATTCAGATTTAGACCGCTTCAAAAAAACACTAACCAAATCTAAAACACATTACTCTGCAGCTAATACATGCAGTGACCCTCACACACAATTAATTTGTCCCAGTCAGAAAGGAGTAGCTAACACTCTTCAGATGTGATGAATAAAGCTTAAAGCACCTTCTGATCAGAAATAAATTATATGCCACCTTCTGGCTCTCATGCATGACAAAAGTAACTTTAGTTGCTGTTTTATACAGAAAGATTGATTGATTTGTGCCCTCTCAGAAGAGTACTTGACCCTGCCTGACCAAAATTTACTGTCTTCATTGACTAAATTTGTTCAGCAAATCCTACAAAAAAGACAAACACAAGGAAAACTAAAACACTGTTTATAAAATAACAACAACACTTAGGAGCCTAAACGGAGGCCAAAAATCAGCAGTCAGTAGGTGTAGTTTATGTTTATGTAGTTTATGTACAAAAAAAATATTCGAGTCTCTTCAGTACCTTCGAATACAAGCTGGGAGGAGCGACGTGAGGCGATTGTATTCAATGGATATGTAATTTAGAAGTTATATTTCAACATTAAAAGATGAGTGAAATTAACATACTGCTTTACGAACAATTAGCAGGGTTAATCTAGGATATTACTTGAGCGGAGCAGTTCTCAACACAAACAAGTCTGCCCATTGGAAAATTGCACACCGTGTGCGTACACTTGTTCGGCACTAGCTCCGAATGTAGTTAATTTCGGTCATTTTCAATCGAAATGTACGGCTGGAAAATAACAGCACTCAGTCTGTAACTATGCCTATGCCACAATTCCATCCTTAAAACATCTGTCAATCGTAGTTATGAATAGAAAGAAGAAGGAACCTTCTAAATAAAGGCGTCCCAAAATAGTCCACAAGTCTAGTAAATATGGCTCTGTAAGGTAAATTTTTGGGACGAAATTTTCTCAAAGACAAGGACAAATAACACAAAACAACAACAAGAAGTGCTTACCTCGAAGGTTCAAGTGTGGCTTTGAAGGGTCGCCATCGCCGCAAGACAACAAACGAAGGGAAAAACATACACCAAAAATTAAAGTAGCACTAAAAACTCCGAAAAAGAACAACATGCAGGCAAACAAACGCTACATTTCGACTGGTGTGCGCCACATTTTCGCCATCATTTCGTCACAAATTTCCACTATGATGGAACCAGTCAACGCCATCTTGAAGCACGAACCAGCCAATCGGCGATTAGAAATCAGCCCACGTGACATAAGTTTCCTATCCAGTCTTTCTATTATCCATGGTAAACTCATAAGCGCTAAAGCTTGCTGATATTCTATACCAGGACATAATATATAGATTTAACCAGGGCTAAAAGCGAGGCTCCCATTAGTAAATTTATAATTTAAATTAAACAATAAACTTGTATTCGAATTCCACAATTCAGTTAACTTTAGAGCACATTTATGTGACTTTTGAGGGAAAGGCTACCTGATTTTAGAGAAAAATAATTTGCAAACAGCCCAAGAGTGAACCAAATCCTACATCGAGTTGATAGCCTCATATGTACACTCAAAAACTGGTAATCATCTTTTATCACATTTAAGAGCCGTAATGGCTATTGATCACCGTAGATCAATTAGGCTTAGAAAAAAAATCAGGCCAACGTTTTGGCGTTCGACAAGTTTACTTTGCAAAATCTTGCCAACAAATCTGGGTGCGTGTAAACCAACCTTTTATACCATGGACAGAAAGCAGTATTTCACAATACAAATTGCTCTCATTCAATATTCATAAACTGTTAAAAAAATTTTCCAAAATCACCTATACGGCCATCCGGTTCTCACTTTTGTAGTGCGAACTGTAGCGAGTGTTTGAATGAACATTAACAGAGTTACGCTCCAAGATAATAAAGAATTTATCATGTTTATTTTTTATTTGATGGTTTAACGCGCGGCATTTTGAGAACTCCT